CCATGAAACAATACCACATTTAAATTTTTTTCAATAATTAAAGGTTTGTTTGCCTCCTGATTCAAATAAAAAGAATAGGATTTGAGAATAGGAATAAGCATTAAATATACCAATATATCTTTGAAATTCTAACTATATAAAGTTCTGTTAATGCCGTTTGACTTTCCTGGATAAAACAAGATATTTCAAAGTGCCAAACATACAGAGTACTATATGTGAAATAATTCAAATCAAATTTCTTGGTTTATCAATGCCAAACAAAGTTACATAGAAAAACTAAAAAGTAACATGGAAAATCATGACATGTATTCTAAGGAAGAAAATCTCATTTTCCACATCCTGAGCATTTATTAATTTGAGCAGAAAGTGGTACTACAGTGTTAAGTATAGAATTCAAAAATGTTAGTGTTTGGCCTGAACAAATGTAATTTATACAGAATATAAATGTCATAATTTCACAGTGTGCATACAACTGTCTGTAACTTACAGAGGCAGAATTCTGTAGTAGACTATTTGATATTGTGAAAAGAAACTAAAAAGAGTCCTGACCCCGCAAACCTGATGAAAAATATGTTCTTAGCAATTGAAATTCTAAGAATGATGGGATTCATCAAGTGAAATTACCTTTTCTCTATACAAACTGATTATCTTTTTCAGATTTGAAACAAATCTGTACTCATGAAGAGTGACTGCCAACAAACCACAGCATGTCAAGAAAGAAAAAAAGATCCAATAGAAATGTTTCATTCTGGGCAGCTGGTAAAAGTCTGCGCCCCCATGGTTCGATATTCAAAGTAAGCATTGTTATGTGATTAATGAGCTAACGTGATTTCCTTTTTAAGCTCTGACTTTTAAAAAGTAAAACCATGGCACCACAATTGGATCACCAAATGCCCAGCTTTGGGATCATGATTTTAGGCTGGTCGTACCGCTTGCCTGGTATGTGTGTAATGTAAGTGGAATCACAAAGTATTTCTTTTTGAGACTGGCTTATCTCATTGAGCATAATCTCTGCAATTCCTTTTTAAAGCTGAATAATATTCCGTTGTATGTATATAGTACATTTTGTGTATGCATTCATACATTCAACCCAGCTTGGGGTTGCTTTGGCTAATGCTGCTACAAACATGAATATCATTATCTTTTTGAGACCCTGCTCTCAGTTCCTTGGGGTATATGCCCAGAGGTGGAATTGCTAGATCATATGGGCAGTTCTATTTTTAATCTTTGAGGAATTGCTATGCTGCTGTTCGTAGAAGCTACACCATTTTACACTCCCACCAGCAGTGCACAAGGGTTTCAGTTTCTCAGCATTCTTACCAACATTTGTTATTTTCTGGGGCTTTTGTTGTTGTGTTTTATTATCCATACTATTGGATGTAGAGTATCTCACTGCAGTTTTGTTAGTTTAGTTTTGGGGGGGGGCGTTAGAGGGGGAAGGTTTGGAGGTAACTAGGTTTATTTATTTAATCATTTTTTTAATGGAGGTACTGGGGATTGAACTCACAGCCTCTTACATGCTAGGCATTCACTCTACCACTTGAGCTATACCCTCCTCCCCTCACTGTAGTATTTATTTGTATTTTTCTAGTGATGTTGAGCATGTTTTCATGTGCTCATTGGCCATTTGTATATCTTCTTTGGAGAAATGTCTATTCAAGCCCTTTGCCCATTTTTCAAACCTATTTTTTGTTGTTGTGGTTTTGTTTACTAATAAGTTTTGAGAGTTTCTCTTTATATTCCAGATACTACTCTTTTGTCAGGTAGGTGGTATGCATATGTTTCCTTTCGGCTTGTCTTTTCATACTCTTAACAAGATCTTTTGGAGAGCAAAAGTTTTTGTGTAATGAAGTCCATTTAACAGTTTTTCCTTTGCAAGTTGTGCTTTTGTTGTCGAGAATAAGGAATCTTTGTGTAGCTCTCTAGATACTAAAGATTTTCCCTTATATTTTTTCTGAAAGTCCTCTAGTTTATGTTTTACATATAAGTTCTTTGAGTTAATTTTTGTCTAAGTGTGATACTTACGTTGAGGTTCATTTTTTTGCCTATAGATGTCTAATTACTCCAGCACAATTTGTTGAAAAAGCTGTTGAATTATTTTTGCATCTTTATCAAAAATCACCTGGGCATGTTTGTATGGTTCTTCTTCTGCATTCTCTTTTCTGAGTCATTGATCTGTGTGTCTGTCCCTCCACCAGTATCACACGGTTTTGATTACTGTAGCTATATAATGAGTCTTGAAATTAGGGAGACAGAAATATCCCACTTTTTCAAAGCTGTTTTAGCTATTGTAGTTCCTCTGACTTCCCAAATAAATTTTAGGATGAACTTTTCTATATCTATAAAAAAATCTTGCTGGAATTTCCATAAGAATCATAGTATGTAGTGATGCTGATTTATGTATATCAGTTTGGGAAGAATTGAATACCCTGTGTTGAGTCTCCTCGTGAACACAGTCATTTATGTAGATCTTTGGCATCTTTCATCAGTGTTGTATAGTTTTTAGCATGCAAAGTCTTTACCTATTTTGTAAGGCTCACACCAGTTGTTATTGTATGTTTAGTTTCAGTGTCCATTTGTTCATTGCTGGTTTATAGAAGTAAAATTGCTTTTTCTATGTTGATCTTATATCCTACGAACTTGATAAAATCACTCACTGGTACTAGGAGGCTCTTATAAATTCCTTGGGAGTATCTAAGGAGACAGTCATGCCATCTGCAAGTAGACACAGTTTTACTTCTTCCTTTCCATCATATGCCTTTCATTTCTTTTTTTCATGCCTGGCTGCACTGACTAGAAGTTTGAGCACTATGTAAAGAGTGATGGGAGCAGGTATCTTTCCCTTGTTCTTGATCCAGGGGACAATTGTTCTGTCTTTGTCCTTTAAGTGTAGTGTTAACTGTAGAATTTTTTGTGGATGCTTCTTATCAAGTCAAGAAAGTTCCCTCTTATTCCTGTTTTTCTGGGAGTCTGTTTTTTTTTTAATTATGAATATTGTTCTGTCAAGTGCTTTTTCTGCATCGGTTGATACAGTCATGTGATTTTTTTTTTCATCTTTAGCCTGTTAATATGGTGGATTACATTGATTGATTCTGAATATTGAAATGTCTATTTTAACTAGCTTTTCCTGACACCACCACAGCAGGGGAAGGATGAGAAGGCACCACCTCATTACTCTCAGGTGGAGGTAGAAGTCTAGGTTTTCCACTTGGTCTCCTTTAACACCCTGGGGGCATGGGGCTCCTCATTACTGCTGAGCTGGGGTGAGAGTTCCAGCTCCCCATGCAGGGGGTGGCCTGGTAATTGGTGGGCAGTGATGCAAGTCCTGGCTCTGTGCCAGGCATTCTCTGATACTACTCGCAGAGAGGAGGGAGCAGGGCACCTCACCAGTGCTGGGTAGAGGTGGAATTCCCGGCTCCCCACGTGGTCTCCACTGATACCCTCCTTGTTATTGGCCAGCAGGGATTAAAGCCTCAGCTCCCTACCCGGCCTTCTCCAGCACGACTATGGAGAGGTGCTGAGAACCTTGTTACAGCTTTGGAAAGGTAGAAGTCTAGCCTCCTCACTCGACCTTTGCTTGTGGAGTTGGGGGCCACAGTGTTTTCTCTGGTGACGGGCTGGAGTAGAGCCATTCTTATCTAAAACCTTTTTGTCTTGCCAGGCCGCCCGTTTGGTTAGAGAGAGCGGGCTTTTATTGGGGCTGTTTTTGTCTGCACGCACTGGTGTTTTCAGCTTCTTCAGCTTCAAATCTGGGATATTTGAGGCAAAAAGAAAACCCAGGCAACTCACCATTGTCATTCCTTAGGTCCTGCCCAAGGTCACTGCTCTCTTTTCTCCACCTTGCAGTGCTTCCCTATGTTTGTTTGTACGTGATAGCCAGGGTTTTAGTTATCTGAGCAGGAGGAACAGGGGAAAGTCCATCTGCTGCATCCACTTATAGGAGAACTTTCCTCTAATAAATGTTGAGTAACTAAATTAAACTCCGAAGTATACATGATTACGGTGTTTTTTAAATGCCTAATTAAAGTTTTGTATGCTCACAGGTTGGCTTTTAGAACACTAGTAAGAAAATACAGTTGTGATCTGTGCTATACACCAATGATAGTTGCTGCGGATTTTGTCAAATCCACAAAAGCCAGAGACAGTGAATTCACCACAAACCGAGGTACGTGAAAGCTAGAATTTGCTAACTTTGTAAAACTTAAAAAAACAAACAAACAAAAAAACTCAACAATCTTGACTAATCAGAGACAACACAGTTTGGAGACTTTATTTTTAAATCTTCTAGTTTTTAAATACATTTTTAATAAGTTTTTTCAATATTTTTTTACTCAGTGCCTTGTAAACTATGGATACTGTATCAGAGCATGTCAGCTTTAATTAAGGCCCTGTCCTTTCACCTGGACTGTTAGCTGAGATTCATATCTCACTGCCTTCAGTCGTAACCCATTTCAGACTATCATCCAGGCAGCCCAAAGTGACCTTCCTAAAATGTAAATGTGATCACTTCTTTTCCCTGCTCAGAATCTTCCTTCAGCCTCTCACTGCCTAAAACAGTGGTTCTCAGAGTGTGATTTCTCAGACCAGTAGCATCAGCATTATCTGAAAACTTGTTAGAAATGGAAATTCCCAGACTCCACCCCAGGCGTATTGAATTAGAAACTGTGGGTGTGTGTAGGGCAGTCTGTGGTTTAAAAAGCCCTCCAGGTGATTCCCATCTTGCTGAAGATTGAGAACCACTGACCTAAAGAGTAAACTTCCAGCACCCATGGATGATATATGAAGTTCTTCATGATCTAGCCTCTGAATACATGTTCTGCAGCTTTATCTGTCATTAGATTTCTCTTCATAGCCCACTGACTTTATTCTTCAAAAATGCTGTTATTTTAAGTCCCTAAACGTGCCCCAATCTCTCACACTCTTCTACTTCACAGTCAGTGCCTGTCCCTCAGATCCTTGTCTTTCTGGGAAAGGACAGTTCATGCTTCTTAATGTTCTGAAGTTGTTTATTACCTTTATTAATCACCCTCCATTCATGTGCCCTCTCGTAAGCACGGCCTTCTGTTGTACTTAATCCTATTGTACAATAATTTCCTCTTTATATGCCTGTCTCTCCTCACTGTACTATGGGCTCCTTGAGGGTTGGAACTATTACTTGTTGATTTATACCCTCAGCTTCTAGTACAGTGTTGAAAATATGTTTGACCAATAAATAGTTGTTAAACTGAAATTCTATAACTCCTGTGAGTTACAAAAGAGAAAGCACCCAACATCCTTGGGAAAAAGCAGATTCTCCTATCCCATAATAACCGTGTAAATCGGGATTGCCACAGAAATTCTGACCCACTGGTCTTCACTTTGGCAAGCACCCGGTGAATCCCATACAGGGCAGTCCTCAAAAAAACTTCAGAAAAATTGAAATATATCTATTCAGAATTTATAACACCCAAAAATGAGAAAAATATGTCCTTTAAAACCTAGGGAAGCTCTGATACATTTGGCTATATTAAAATTTAAACTTTTATGTGTAAGAAAGAGCAAAGATAAAGACAAACTAAAAACTGGGGGAAATATAATATTTTTTGTATTTATGACAGAGAACAGAGTTAATTTCTTTGTTTTATTTTTAAAACTTAAATAAGAAAAAAGGAACAATTAACAGAAAAACTGCACATAGAGAAATGTGCAAAGACTATGGATAGAGAGCCCACAAGTAAATACATGCTGCTGGGTGTGCAGTTATTGATTTTTATTTATTTTTATTTGTGGGGGGAGGGGTGTGTATTTAGGGTAGGATTAGTTATAAGGAAACAGGAACTGTCACCCCATTGGTGTGTATCTATACTGGTAAACTCTTGAAAGAAAAATTTTAATATCTTTCAAAATGTTAGATACCTGCCCAGCGGTTATACTCCTAGAAATTTACTCTGTGAATATACTCACAGAAGCATGTATATAGGAATATCCTTATTGCAGCCTTGTTTCCAAGAGCCACAAATGAAGAACAATCTCAAAGTACACTGTATGGTCCATCCATACACCAGAATATGCCACTAGAAAGAGGAAAACAGGTCGGAGTGCAGCTTCCAGATACATCCCGGGGAAAAAGCAGTAGGCACATCAATGTTCATAGAATGGTCACATTTACTTCAATTTTACACGTATACATAAAATTGTTGTGGAATGCAGTAAACTAATTCCCACCTTTGGGAAAGGGGTCTGCTTGGCAAGAATGTTGAACTTTTCATTTTATCATATTTTATAATGTTTGAATTTCTACCAAGTGTAAATTGCATATAATTTAAAATACCTTAATGCTATCTTGTTTGAACAGATGCTTCTTAGGCTAAAAATAATTATTGTTATTTTATCCTGTACAGATGTTAGAATTTCATATCTCGTGTGTGTGTATGCGTGTGTGTTTCTGTGAATTTTAATGTTGAGCTATTCATTTTATCAGGTGATTGCCCATTGATTGTTCAGTTTGCTGCTAATGATGCAAGAATTTTATCTGATGCTGCTCGTATAGTCTGTCCTTATGCGAATGGAATAGACATTAACTGTGGTTGCCCTCAGAGGTAAAGCTCAAAGAAGTTGGAAGAATTTTCAAAAAAGATTAGAAAAAATTATGTGAACATGGTAAACTACCATTGCCAAAAATTAAAAAGTAAGGAAAATAGAGATAAAAAACTTGGGCTCTAAATAAGAAGAAAAAATAAGGAAATACTATTTATAAACATACATACAAGGGTATTTTCTGGTGGCTAGAACAATGTATAGACCCTTGACAAATTTTTGTCTCACCTCCCCGCTAAAAATGTTTTTATGTGTGGATCTGCCTTGAAACACATCCATACATAGTAATGTGAGATTCTGATGTTTATAGCAATCTCTAAAACGTATTTTTACTGCTATGTCAGACATACTTGCTCTAAACATTATGATTCTACAATTTGGGAGATCACCACTTGCTTTCTCCTAATTAATTTCCATTGTAAGAATACCTTCTTATAGTTACCTTTTCTTTCTATACTGTAGTTACTTGTTTGAGTCTGAGTAACTGGGATAGGATGTACTTAATTTGATGGTAATATCCCTACCTTCCTGGTATGGTATTAGATTATCTGTCAATAATTTAAAATGTGTTCAAAGAATAAAACTGAGGTCTTATGTATAGTATAATCCAAATCAGATTAGACATATTTGTATACTCATTAGGGGAGTTCAATAAGCTGTTTAGTGGTGTTGGAATGCTGTAGGCCAAAAATAGGTTTCTACTCTTAAGATTAATAAAATCTCTTGTTATGTACAATAAACATCAAATTTGGAATTTAAAAAACCTGAAGTAATTCCAATTAATTATAAATACTTAAATCTGTTTTGGTTGACTGAACTTTAATTTTCTCACTTGCCAGTGAAAACCATTTCCCCTAAGTACTTCTTGACCTGGGAACATGTTTTTCTAATCTTGATACACTTTGAAATGTTGTATCAATGAATTTAAAAACCTGGTTCCATTCCAGATTGCTAGGCAGAAAAATAGGTAGATACAGTTACAGTGCTTTTAGAATTGTATTTTCTCTTCCAGCTATTTACAATTTATTTATTGTTGTGTTTACTTTATGCAGGTGGGCACTGGCAGAAGGCTACGGAGCTTGCTTAATAAACAGGCCAGAGCTTGTTCAAGATATGGTGAAACAAGTAAAACATCAAGTGGAAGATCCCAGATTTTCAGTATCTATTAAAATAAGGTAAGGACAATATTTTTTAATCTATTGACAAGATAATCATTACTTAGGAAATAAAAGAATATTCCTTTTGTCTAGAGGTGTGGGGATGTCCATTCTCAATAAACAGGCATCTGGGATATGAAAATGTTGAAACAAGCATTTAGTAAATGAATATATACCATAATTTTCATTTATAATCCAAAACAACTTCTTCATATGTTTTAAGAAAAATTAAAGTATCTCTTTATTATTAAAAAAAACTTCTCCCCAAAGAAATAATTTTTCCATGTACTATTTAACTAATTCATGCTAAGAAACATTCCTGATGCGAAGAGTAGAAAATAGGAATGATATTTGCACTAAAATTTCACAATGAAAAGAAAATAAACTATAAATTAGCTTTGGGGTAATAGGTTAAAAAATCTATTTTAAGATTCATGATTATACTTTTCCAACTTGTGGATTGGGGTATGCACAGCAGATACTAAGATACCAACTTTCAATTCATCTGTGACAGTACTTTGATGAATTTTTCAGTTATCAAAGCCAAAAGAGAGGAGCACTAGGTAAAACTTATTGGTCATCCTATTGTTTCCAGTCATGAAATAGCTAAATTCAAGGTCTTAAATGGAAATTGACTCCTGAACAAAACTTTAATGACAGTGACAGGCAGTGATAATATGACATAGCAAAGCTAACTAAATAATAGATGAAATATTGTTTTTTTCAGTTTACTGATTTTAGCATTAAGCTTTGTGTGCCATGAAAAGATAGATATAATTCTGAAATTATAGGATCCATGATGACCTTACAAGAACTGTAGATCTCTGTCGAAAGGCTGAAGCAACGGGAGTTTCCTGGATCACAGTCCACGGAAGAACTGTTGAAGAAAGACATCAGCCAGTTCACTATGAGGCCATTAAAATAATTAAGGAAAGTTTGTCTATACCTGTAATCGCTAATGGAGACATCAGAAGCCTAAAAGAAGCAGAAAATGTGTGGCATACTACTGGGACAGATGGTAAGAAATAAGTACTTGAGTTTTTGTCTTTTAATTAGCAAAAAAAAAAAAAAAAAAATTTAAGTGGAGGTAGGAGAGTAATGTTAATGTGATTTTAATGATTTCTCTTTCAAACAGAGCCATATTTCCCTGTTGTACTAATTTAAGCTAAGCAATTTATTAAAATGATTTTAATTCTTCTATTTAGAAATGAGATTATTTTAATTGAGGAAAAGTAATTCAGTTACTTTTCTCCTACCATCATATGCAGTGAGTGACCAGTTAAGAATCTTCCAGATAGCCTATTAGTAAAATAGAGTATGTAGAATAGAAATGAAAATTAATGAAAACAAGAGTGGTCATAGGACAGATATCTTGTAGTATCACTTACATGTAGACGCTAAAGCATGATTCACATGAACTTATTTACAAAATAGAAATAGACAAACACAGAAAACAAATTTAGGGTTAGCAAAGGGGAAGGGTGGGAGGGATAAATTCGGAGTTTGGGATTAGCAAACACAAATTACTACACGTAAAACAGATAAACAACAAGGTCCTACTGGATAGCACAGGGAACTATTCTCAGTATCTTGCAATAAACTATAATGGAAACAATGTGAAAAAGAATATAACTGAATCAGTTCACTGTACACAAAAACTAACACATTATAAATCAACTATATTTCAATTAATTAATTTTTTTTTAAAGAGTCGACACAGGAGCCAAAGGAACCCCAGACTGCTATGCAGTTTCATTATCCCCTTAAACTTTGGCATATCAAGCCCTGTGATACCTGTTGTGAGATGGGAGAATGCAGATAAAGTTAACTTCAGCAAACCCATTTTATGACAGTCCAGATTTACCCTAAAAAAACCCTAAGGACTAATTTTGTGATGTAGAAGTCTTTAAAAAATAAGAAAAAAAGTCCTGTAAGTACATTTAAACCTAATTGGTTTTTAGAAAAAGTATCAAAATAAATTGTTTAATAACAATTAGATTAATATAAGGACATTGTGAAACCTTGTAATAGTACTTTATTTTTTAATATTCTCAATTTATTTAATTGAGTTTGACCTCATAACCATGAGTTCTTAATGTGTGGACAAATGTGATGTGCTTTAATTTGTAGGTGTGATGGTTGCAAGAGGACTCTTAGGAAACCCGGCCATGTTTGCTGGATATGAGGAAACCCCACTGAAATGCATCTGGGACTGGGTTGACATTGCTCTTGAACTTGGAACGCCGTATATGTGTTTCCATCAACATTTAATGTACATGATGGAAAAGATAACTTCAAGGCAGGAAAAAAGAGTATTTAACGCTTTGTCAAGCACATCAGCAGTCTTAGATTACCTTACAGACCATTATGGGATTGACTGGACTTCCTAAATTAGTTTATCATATGCTTCATTTTACATCTTCAGTGAAACCACTCAAAGTCACATCCTGGTTTTTACTTTGAATGAGTGGCTCTCAAACATTAGTATTAAAACAATGCCTTGAGAGGATTTTAAAAAATCACTCCTAGACCCCATCCTCAGAAATTTCAACTCAGTAGATCTCTAGGATGGACCCAAAATTTAGTTTTAAAGAAGACCCCAGGTGGTTCAAACATTGACAAACATTGCTCTGAAGCCTATTGTGAATTTTAAAAAGTGAGAATTTTTTTCCAAAGGAATTGTGTTTTTAACATTTTTTAATAAATAAAACTTTTTAATACTGAAAGTATGACTCATGTAGTATCTGTTAAGTTAACATGAAGTATGTTTTAAATAAAAACAAGTGCAGAAGGAACAAGAAATTCTGTATAGACTTGCATTCAGGGTTTAAATTAAAAGTTCAAATCGGAAAACCAAACTACTTCCTAATTCATAAATTACATATCTCAAGGTATTTGTTCTAAATTTGTATGTAACAGAATTTAATTAGATGTGATGTTTTCTATAATTTAAAACTAAGATTCCAAAAAATTCTTTTAAGTGACATTAAATTTGTTACATTTCAAGCCTTCTAGAGACTTAGAAGTTTGAGAGCTTGGTAAATATACCTGTATCTAAAATGATAATATTAATTTCCATCTCCCACATCTTAAGTATAAACAATGTGGTAACTAATCTGTAGATGGTTACTCAGTTGGCCCTCGGTGTCCAGGGATACGGAGAGTCAGCTGTGCTACACTGTTCCAGACCGTTTGTATATGGGACTTGAGCATCCACAAATTTTGGTATCCATTAGAGTCCTGGAACCAATCCCCTGCGGATACTGAGGGACACCTGTGTATTTGAAAGATTTCCTGGAGAATAGTAACCAGGTTTTATTTTAATTTAAAAACCTAGTTTTCATACCCTGTTTTTAGTAACATTTTTATTCCTCCCAGCAGTTGATGATAATTTTAACTTTAAAGTTCCATGGTTTGGGAATACTAGTAGAATTTTGTTAGTGGTGACTGTACCACTGCAAGAACTATCTCAGGTTAAAATAAAAGTTCCGTAATTAAGATATGGGTCTATATTACCCTCATAAAAATTATTACAAGGAGACAATTAACTAAAACTTTAATTCAAGAGTTTGGGAATATTAAATGAATCCATTTTTAACATAAATACTATGTTGCCATTTTTTAGGCACATTTTGTGCTTTCATTTATAAGTTTATGGATTTTTTAAGATAACTGGCTTTTTAATGTTAAGTATATAAGCAAACAGGGAGCTATAGTCAAAACTTAGTCATTTTTGTTCGTAAATTAACTCAGAAGTGAATTAAATGAGAGTTGTGAGCACAGCAGCTTAGAGGAAGGTGTAGAGCCTTTCGAAGGAAACAGTGTAGAAGGGCAGGAAGTTCTAAACGCGTTTTCTTAAGTTCCTACGGTTAATTTATGTTGTCTTTTTTTTCTTTTCTATGTGGTCAAGTATATTTTTGACAAGAGAAAGCATTGACTTAAATGTGTTTTTATTTTCAATAGCCACCACTTTATTTTCATCGTTTAATGTTCCCAAAATGTCTCCAGGAGGGTAACACTTATGTGCGCATTCCTGATTTTAATACTGAAAAAAAAAAACCCTGTAATAATTTGAGTGTATTCACACCAATTTGAAAACCTGGAAAACAGTAATTGAATATACTCATGGCCACATGGTACGGGCACATTCTTTCCTGTCATTCCCATTTATCACCCTACAGTTTATCACCTCCTCAGGCCATGGACAAGAGCAGAAAAGAAAGCCTCACCATAGTTATGTTTTGACGCTGCATATTCTCCTACATTCTCAGAACAAAATGCTGCGCAACCACGCAACCAGGGCCTATTTAACTACAGCTTAACGACGAAGCTGTGTCTAGGGTAAAGTAGGGAACAGGGAGGGAAAGCGTTTTAAACCCGTTCTCCAGACGTCCGGCGCCCTACCTTGCCCTCCCGGCCCTGCGCCACCGCCCCTCCCTGGACCCCACCAAGCTCTTCCAGGACGTCGGTTAACCGCGCCCCTCCCACCCAAACCACACTGCGTTAGAAACTGTAAGCCGGATCTCTCCAAGAAGTTGCACTTGGGAGCCCCAGGCACTGGATCGAAGGGTCTGAGTCATCCGCTACCTCCACCACCAATTAGAAAACAATTATTGCTAATCGTCGTGTTCGCACCGCCTGAGACCACATTGGGGACCGGCAGGGGAGGCCAGAACTGGGAGAGGGAGTGGGCGGGGCTGAGGGCGGGGTGGGGGAAGG